GTGTAGTGTTTGACCCATCTTTGCTTCTAGGTATTTTATGGTTTCCGTTCTTATGTCTAGGTCTTTAATCCACTTCGAGTTGATTTTTGTGACTGGAGTGAGGCAGTGATCTAGTTTCATTTTTTGCATGTAGTTTCCCAGTTTTCCCAGCACTATTTGCTGAACAAATTTTCTTTGCTCCATTGTATCTTCTTTGCTCCTTTCCTACACAGATTTTTAAAAACAATACTATATGCAGAAATTTCCACTTGCGCTATTCAATTTCATTTTGTGGGTCGGGATGCTTCATTTCAGCTTGCTGCCATTGCCAAAAACATCAGTCAGTGTACAGAGAAACCAGGTGGAGTAGAAACTATTGAAGTTTATCTTCAGAGAGGCTGGGTGTAAAATTTCCTTGGGCCTTGTAATAGTTGTTGAACTCAAGTCAATCCATCCTTAAGAGTGGCTAGTGATACTTTTTCCCAGGAGAGTGTCAACAGCTATAAATTCTTTCTTTGTTCTGAAATGGAATTTCTTTGGCTCTGAAGACCTGAAATCAATTAAATGGATTATACATCCTTCTATCTTTTCACCTTTTTTAAACTTAATTACTTGATAACTATTTTGGGCTATCCTTTTTATCATACTAAAGATCAGTTGCTTGATAGAAAAGGCTGCTCTGGTGAAACAGGACTCTTATCTATTAACACTATATCCCATGCCCCAGGGAGTGACCTATCCTTTTGATGTCTCCATCGCGACACAGCACTGAAAGTGTCTTTAAAAAAAAAATTGAAGTTATAATATCATTTTGCAGTCTTTGGCTCTGTCTTGATGAAAGTGCTGAGTAAGGAGTCAAAACCTTCTTGTGTTGATCTGATTTTGCAAGAGCCACAAACCCTCTCTGGGCTGGAGGTCGATTTCAGAATGGTTTCTAAGATCATTCATGCTTAGATTCTTTAATTCTTTGAAATAGTCCCATTTGGGTCCTTGTATGACAAACAAGCATCTTCCAAACTACCATTCTTGTGAAGCTTCAGTCCCAGTGATTTTAGCTCTTTCCTGATCTCTCTTGTTTCCAAAGGATGCTTCTGGACGCCTAGAAGTGCTTCTATTCCTTGTTGAGAGTTGCAGTGATATTCCAGTTATCCTTAAGAAGAAATAGTGTTTCTTTTCTTTTGTTTTAAAGATTTATTTTATTTATTTATGCAGATAAGAGCTGGGTGTAGGCCAGAGGTGCACAGGTTGAG